TCTCTGGCAGGTTTGGCTTAGTATCACGCTGTGGAAAAGGTGGCATTTTCTGGACCATCACCTCTGTGACCAGGTGCTGGTTAGACCTCTAGGGCATCACAGGCCAAATGTCAAAGAAGGACTAATAACGCAGGGTCCTTGGGTGGTGGGAGCAGAGGAATGGGATCAGCCACGTGTCCAGCCATTTCCCTCCTCCTGGCATCCCTCAGAGCTGGTCCCACATGTCCCCATGGCCCACTGTGGCTTCTGAACTCTTGGTCCGTGGTGAGTCTAAATGAGACACTGGATTTTGAAAACTTACTATGAGGAAGTATGTAAACTATGTTGACAGTCGTTCTATTGATTACATGGTGAAATGGTCATGTCTTAGTTACACCATGTGAATGAAATAAATTATTAAATTCATTTTACCAAGCTTTCTTTTAACTTTTTAATAGAAAATTTCAAATTATATATGTGACTCAGCTTCTATTTTTTTTCAGTGCTGAGCTGTCTCAGGAAGAGCTGGCTTTAGGGAAAACAGGCTTTGAAGACCCTCCCTACAGCCCACCCCCTGCGGCTTGGATTTTTCTCCTTTGGAAAGCTGTCCTCTGGGGAAGCATTGCTGCCTCCACAAACCCAAGCTCCAACTGGAGACCCCCTGCTCAAGGAACTGGATTATGACATCCAGGAACTTCCCAGATTTCCAGGAATGCTGCAAGCTATGCTGGAATCAGTCATTTTTTTTTAAGTTGTAGATGGACACAATACTTGTATTTATTTTTATGTGGTGCTAAGGGTCAAACCCAGAGCCTCACACGGGCAAGGTCCAAGCTCTACTACAGAGCCACAACTCCAGCCCGGAAACAGTCTTTTGAGAAATAATTTAAAATAGACCAAGCAAAGAATTATAAAAGCAAGGGAATGAGGACGTGCACATAGTCACTTCCCGCTTGTCCTGCACTGTGCTGCCACCCCACTCTTGGGGTCACGTTCCATATGGTGGGAATACAAATGAGCTTGGGCCACCATATCTCTCTTCCAATCCTGCTGAGCCAGGATGGCACACCTGGAGCTTGAAATTGCCAAAGTCATGAATCAGGACTTTGGGTTCCCCTGAAGGGCACAGTGGCACATGCCTCTAATCGGGAGGCTGAGGCAGGATTGAGAGTTCAAGGCCAGCCTTAGAAACTCATCAAGGCCCTAAGCAACTCAGCGAGTTATATCTCTACATAAAATATAAAAAGGGCTGGGGATGTGGCTCAGTGGTTAAGCACCCTGGGTTCAATCCCTGGTGCAAAAACAAACAAACAAACAAACAAACAAAAAAAGCAGGGCACTGAGTCCCCTGGAGTGAGGGACCCAACACAGCAGGAGGGACCAAAGGGGCAGAGCCTGAACTGATGAAGAATGAGGATCTCAGGGAAGAGATGGGCCTAGATCACCCAGAAAGTGGTTCCCAAGGCAACCTGGGTCCCCTGACTCCCTGGCCAGGCCAAGAGGCCACAGCAGGTCCTTTAGGGACAAGTGTTCCAAAGAAGGGATCCCCTGGACTCACCCGCCTGGACAGCAGGTCAAAGCAGAGTTTGTTCTCACTGGTGCCCAAGTTAATGACGCCCTGGAGAGGAGAGGAACGGGGCCACGTGAGCATGGCAGAGGAGTGCCCGCGAAAGGAGCCCACAGGGTCAGCAATCGGGAGCTCTGCCACCCTGCCCTCCCGCCACCCCTCCCGGTCTCACTCCATCCCTGCCCCCTTGGCCCCAGGCTCTCTCTTCCCATTTCTAAGTTCTGCTCAAGTGCCATCTCCTCCAGGAGCCTGCCCCGCAATCCCACCTAGAAGGGCTTCTTCTTCTCTGGGGTTCCATGGCTCTTGATCTGTCACCCTCTAGAGCACTGCTGACTTTTTGCTCCAGGCCATGGGGACAGAAGTCTATGCTCTACTCCCCTGCTGCAGGCGAACTCCCAAAGGCAGATGCTCACCCAGGACGTTATAGTATCTCTCAGCCGCTTAGCAGGAATCCATACATGTTTATAGGATGAAAGAATGTACACACAGAACCATGTTCTCCAGGATCAGAAACCAGGTGGAGGTCAAAAGGATGAGCCCTCGGCCACTTGCAGTGACACACACCTGTCATCCCAGCAGCTTCACACACCTGTAATCCCAGCAGCTTGGGAGGTTGAGGCAGGAAGATCATGGTTCATAACCAGCCTCAGCAACTTAGAGAGGCCCTAAGCAACTTAGTGAGACCCTGTCTCTAAATAATAAGACAAAATAGGGCTGGGGATATGGCTCAGTGGTTAAGCACCCCTAAGCTCAATCCTCGTACCCCCCCAAAAAAAATGAGCCCTCATAGGCTGGGGATGTAGCCTGGGTTCTGTCCCCAGTAACCTCCCCACAGATAAAGAACGGCCTCGTGTCAGTGTAAATGTTCCCCCTGGAGACCCAGCCAACACCTGATCCCCACTGCAGAAGGCCTTTATTCTCATAGGAGAGATATGATGCAAGGCCCAGCCCAAGCTCTCCCTTAGAATCCCCAGGGACTCAATGCTGACTCCCACCCTGCTGACTCCCGACTTCCAAATTAAGAGGGGCAAAGGGAGTAAAGGAAAAGGAAAGATGAAACATAGACCTGGAATGAGCAGAGATGAAGACACCTAAGGGGCTGTGATCTCCCCCTGGGGGACAAACAGCCAATGCACACGCAAACCCTGACAGCTCTGCCTTCCAAGCTCCACTGCAGAGATCCTGGCCCAACCCCATCACCCCGCCAGCTTCTCCACTTCCTGTCCTCCCCACTCCCTCACCTATCATCCAGCCTCATGCACAGTCCAAGGCATCTCTTAAAAACAGAAATCAGGCCATATCGCATCTCCTGCAGCACCTCCTGGCCCACTTGATCCAAAATGAGAAGGCTCACAGTGGTCCGTGACACCCATGGGACCTATGACCACACCTACCTCATGACCTTCAAACCTCACAGCTTCATTGCAGACCAATGGTCCCTTTTCTGTCCCTTGAACCATCCAGCATGGTTCCCCTCTGGGCTCTTCCCCAGGTACAACATGGCTCACTCCCGTTGGTGAGCAGCCTCTACAGTGCCTCCCAGGGATCCCCACCTCCTGCTGTTCACACCCTTGAATGTGGGCTGGACCTAGCGACTCATCTCTGATGATCAAAATAAAACATGCAGACATGACGGGATGCCACTTCTGAGATTGGGTAATACCGAATCTGTGGCTTCATCTTGGGAACACCTGGCCCCATTCTCCCAGGTCTTTTGCCCTGGAAAAGCAGCTGCCAGGTAGGAAGTGGGCTGGTGGGAAAGACCCTGTAGAGGGAAGTGAGGCCCTCCAGTCACCAGGTGAGTGAGCTTGCAAATGGCACCTCCCCACCCTCTCTCTGTCCCTCCCCCGGGAGATGTCACCACAGCCCCAGCTTCAGGGCAACTCCACAGAAGATCTTGACTGTGAGGCACCCACCAGGACTCCAGAAACTGAAACTCTTCCTACCTGAATTTCTGAGATTTGAAGGAATTTGTTACAGCAATTGATAGCTAATACCACCTCTCACCCTTTTTTTTTTTTTTCTGGTTTCTGTCCAAATGTCACCTTATTAAAGTAGCTTCCTGTGGCCACTTTTATTCAATAGCAACATTAACACCATTCTCTATCCACTTCACCTGCTTTATTTTTCTCTACAGCTATTTTAGCCTTATATTATATAGAGATGCTTTTGTCTGTCCGCTGTCTCCCACCCAGAACATAAATGCATAGAAGAGAAAAACTTTGTTCTTGCTCACTGTTAAAAATGCCAGCACCTACAAGAGCGGCTGGTACCTGAAGCTGCTGAAGAAGTAAAGATTATTAAAGAGTAATTTGTACAGCTCTCTGATCTGTGCAGGTATTACTAACGGTAGTTAGTAATACCTCATAATAATTGGGCAGATAATATCACTATAATAGCAGCAACATTTATTCCCTGTACCCCAGAGCAAGTCCTGGGCTAATCCCATCATAAATCCCATTTAATCTCCACTCTTCTGCAGCAGGTATAATTACCCTATTTTGGAGATGAGCAGAGAATGAAAGAAACGGAACCATCTTGCACTGAACCCAGCTCTGTCCTAGCTCCAGAGTTGAAGGGTTGGGGGTGGCGATGCAGCTCTGGGGTTGAACACTTGCCTGGCATGAGGGAGAGCTTGATCCTAACCCCAGCCCCACAAAAAGAAAACAAAATCAAGGTGAATGGTTGTCAGGCTATCCAAGCAGGATCACTCTACAGCTCTTGAACTCTTCCTTCAAAGTCCCTGTCCCCTTAATTATAAATGGGGGGTCACTATAATAGGCCCCTGCTTATGGACCTCTAGGACCTCCATCAGAAGCCCTCCTGGAGGCAGAGGACCGTGATTTTCCCCTACAGGTGCCAGCTGGGTGCTGCCCAGCAGTCAAGGAAGGTACCCGCCCCGCAGTTCCCTCTTGGGCCTGGGAAGGGCTTTGCTCACATTGGGGTTCTTGTCCTCGTCATACTCATCCCTGTGGTAGGTCCAATAGCCCTCCTCCGCCGAGTCCCAGAACCATTTGATGACTCTGCCTCTGGAGGACAGGCAGGAGCTGGCAGAGGAGAACATGGCGATGGGATCACCAACTCCACAGAGCTCCGGCAGCTTCAGCTCTGCTCTTCTGGAGCATTCTCCTTCCACGTCACCCTGACAGTATCGGCCCATGTCCTGGGTGGAGGCCGAGCCCAGACAGGTGGCAGGCTCCCTGCATTCCTTCTGAGGAAGGGGGAACATCTGCAAAAGACAGAAGCGCTCAGTGCCCAGGGCTGCTCAAGGCCCTGGGGAGCACCACCCAGAAAAACAGTCAGTCACCATCCCCGCCCCCATCCCCGCCCCACCTCACTTTATTTTGCAACAGGGTTTCCCTGTGTTGTCCAGGCTGGTCTCAAACACCTGGGCCCAAGTGATCCTCCTGCTACACCCACTGGTCATCTGCCCCTTCCTTTAAGTTCATGCACTCAGCACTTCCTGTGTCCCTAACTAGCTGCAACCATATGTGCCACCACTCCAAGGAGCAGAATCTGTTAAGGACATGTAGTGAGCCAGGGCCTGTGCTGGCTACACCTGAGTCATTTCAATAGATTGCCGCTTTGGCTCATTTCATTTCTGCGTACGTTTTTTCTTGTCCAGCCTAAGGGGTCGCCAAACTGCAGGTTAAGCTGGGTGCAGTGGCACAGTCCTGTCATCCCAGTGGCCCAGGAAGCTGAGGCAGGAGGATCACAGGTTCAAAATCAGCCTCAGCATCTCAGTGAGGCCCTCAGAACTGAATGAGACCCTGTCCCAAAGTAAAAAATGAAAAGAGCTGGGGATGTGACTCAGCGGTGAAGAGCCCCTGGGTTCAATCCCTCGTCACAAAATCATCATCATCATCATCATCATCATCATCCAGGCTAAAATTCTCCGCACACATCACTGCCAGGGAGTCTAGATGTCCTGTGGTGGAAAGGGTGGGATGGGATTATTGGTGTCTGGAGCAGATGGTGATGGGAACTGAGGGGAAGGAGGGGTAGGAGTCTCCAACAAGGGCAGAGGCCCAGGTCCAGGTCTTCATGCTGGAAGCAGGAAGGGGCACCAGGAAAGGGTCCTGCTACCAGCAGAGGTGAGCGCCTCCACTTCTCTGAGCCAGTTTCATGTGCACAGTGGTTGTACCAGCAGCCACCTCACTGGACACCAGTGAGGGTGTCAGGGGATCAAGGTCTTAGACCAAATCCTGGCTCAAGGCCACAGTTCTATAGAATATGGGTCCTTAGATAATAAATAGTCCTCACCTATGTTCCCGTCCTAAAGTATAAGCCTCCTGACATCAAATGACGGGTGATCCGTGGGCAACCCAGAGACCATGGTGCCCTCCGTGGTTTAATTTTGGTTTGGGAATGATGTCTTCTCGGGCTCCTCCCCCAGTTGGCGGGGCTCACGGAGGAGCTTCCCTAGACCAGACAAAGGGGTCTGAGGAAGGACAGCGCGGTGGGTGGTGGCCTGGTCAGCTGCACAGCCTGGGGCCTGGGGCCGCCCGTTTTCCTGTCCCAGCCGTCCTGGAGCGCAGGGCCGGTTCTCCGCGTCCAGCGAGTCCCAGGACAGACTGTGGTTACCCGCGCGGGATCAGCTCTGGGAACCCCTCTGGTGGGGCGCCCTGCAGGGCGGGGGCGGCCGGGGCTTTTCCAGGAAAAGGAAGCGCGACCAGTGCCCGGGGCTTCAGCGCCCAGAGGCCCCGCCGCGTCCTCCTCTGCAAAGCGGCGGGTGGCACCTACTTGGAGACCGGCGCTGGCGCGGGGCGGACTCGCGATCCGTGTCCGTTTTCTTTGCGGGGAAAACGCCCTCCCGAGCTTCCCGCGCGGGGAAGACGGCTGCGGGCCTCGGGGACCGGGACCCAGCACCTGGGCCGGCCGTCCGGGATTGCTCCGCGCAGCTCGCCCCCTCGCGACGCCGGCGGGAGGCACCCTCGGGGGGGCCGGAGCGGCGATGGCCGCACAGGTGGGCGCTCCGCCGAGTCCAGGCCTCCCCCGCACGGCTCTATGGGCGGCGAGAGGCTGAGGAGCAGCTGGACACCGGGAAGGGACAGACCTACTCCAGGAAGGGGCGGGCCGCCGACTCCCACCTCCGCCCTCGGTGGCCCGCGCGCGCGACGCTGGAGCAGATCCATCCACGCTGGCACGTGGGGCGCCACCTGCGGCATCCCGCCCTAGTCCCCCGGTTCCCTGAGGCGTTTAGCGGCACAGAGGCGTTTCTTGGCAAATGTCGCGACCCACGAAACGTCCTCCCCGAATTATGGTAGGCCCATCATGAAAACCTCCTTCCTCCTGCGCCTCCCAGCCGCGTGACAGATCTGTGTGGGGTTTCCTCAGCCCCCTAGGTCCTTAGTGGGAACAGACTCCTGCTGAAAGAAAGGAAGAGAGGGAGGAAAAGAAGGAAGAAACGGAAGCGGGCAAAGAAGGTTGTTCAACAAGAGAAAAACCGAAGTTTGTTGACATTGTACTTAGTAGACAAACGCGAGCCACCCAAGGAATGCAACAAAAAACGGAATTTTAGAGACATGACAAAGGAAAAGGACTCTTTAAACTGCACTTTAGAAAAGGCAAAGAGAGAGAGAGGGCGTGGGGGGGAGCGTGGATGAGAGAGAAAACCCAGGGGCGCTTCACCACTGAGCCACATCTCCAGCCCTGGCTTTTTAAAACTACCTATTGGTTGCAAATGGACACAATGCCTTCATTTTTATTTATTTTTATGCGGTGCTGAAGATGGAACCCAATGCCTCCCTGCTAGGCAAGCACTCTACCCCTGAGCCACAATCTCAGCCTACCCGAGCCCTTTTTTATATTTTATTTTGAGACAGTCTCACGCCTTGCTTGGCAGTCTCCCTAAGTTGCTGGAGCTGGCTTTGAACTCTCTGTCCTCTTGCCTCAGCCTCTGGGATTACAGGCATTCACCTCTGGTATAGTTAATGTAGATTCCTGTAGCACCATCTCTCAGCCAATGGGAGTTCAAAGTGCCTGCAGTGGTTACTGTCCTTCTCCCTGTAGAAGGGAGGGGGACCTTGTCTTTGTAAATCTGTGTCCTGCATTTAGGCAAATAGAGGGAGGGCAGCGAGCTCTCCAGCATCTACTTCTTAATGACTTCAGCCCTACAATCTATATTTTGAGGAGGCATATGCTGGCCTGCCACTCGTTGATGCAATGTTTTCTGACCTCTACCTGAACCCTGAATACTCTGGCCCTGGGTGCATCAAGCAGATAGAGTCACTCCTCTCTGAGGGATTTCAACAGGAAAGTCTCCTTTTCTTGGGAAAGGAAATAAGCAGACTCCCTCCACACAGGTGTGGTTGGGAACATCGTCATCTGGCCACTCCCTGTCTTCACTTTGTCCTTGCCACTCAGTAACTTTGTGACCTTGTGCATGTCTCAGGAATTTTTGGCCCTCCATCTTTTCTTCTATAGGATGAAGAAGTCACTTCCCCCATGTAAAGAATTCTGTTTAATTCAGCTAAGGTGTCTTAATGAAGGCCTGTTTTGTGGTAGATCTCTGCAGAATGCTGGGATACCTCTATGGGCAAAACAAACCACAAGGCTACCCACAGGACTGCAGAACAGTGGGAAGACTATTTTAAAAGGGCAGGAACTGGGAGCGCTGGAGCACACCTGTAATCCCAGCGGCTGGGCAGGCCCAGGCAGGATTGCAAGTTCCAGACCCTGTCTCAAAAAGGTTGGGGATGTAGCTCAGTAGTAGATCACCGCCCCCCCCCCAAAAAAAGTGACATGCATGTAGTCCCAGCACTTGGGAGGCTGAGGAAGGAGGATGCCTGTGTCTAGGAGTTGAAGGCCAACCTGAGCAACATAGTAATAGCCCATCTCAAAAGGAGTGTGGCGGTGGGGGTTCTATAGACATAAGGGGTAGTTAACCCCACCCCTACAAACACTGGCATCACATCCCACCCCGTACACACACCTTGCCTCTTCGGAAGAGATGGTTGGGTTCTGAAGGATGAGTCCTAGCACGATGGAGCCTGAGGTGCTGGAAGCAGAGGGGATGGTTTGAAGACGTCCAACATTACTGGGGTTTTTGGAATTTGGTGGAAAGGCTGGAGATACAAACAGGAGGGAGACCATGAATCCCTGAAAATAATTCATGATAACGACTGTGAACTTCTCACTGAGGACAAAAGTGTGGAGAACTTTTAAAGTGCTATATATATATATATATACACATATACATACACACACACACACACACATATATATAACATATATATAGATATATATAAAACACATATATACATATATATGCATATATATATATGTGTGTAATATATAGAGATTTTTTTAACTTTTGTCAAATAACACAATCACAATTAACTTTTCCAAGCTGGAGGAAAAAAACAGACTCAGGATCAGTTTCTCCTACAGTACTACACTCAACACAGAGCCTGGAGATAGCAATGCACTCCCTGAGGTTGACCACTCACACCCATAAGTCTGTTCCCACTTCTGTCACCAGAAGTCTGAACTCATGGAACTTCAGATCAACTAGCTGTCACTTGGAGTTCCCTCGACCCCCACGTTATGCTTCTTTAATTTGCTAGAGCAACTCCAGAACTCAGGGGAATACATTTAACCACTTATTAGAAAGGATATTTGAAGAACTGGGCATGTGGCTGAGGGGTAGAGCCCTTGCCTAGCATGAGTGAGGCCGGACTGCAACAAGTAAAAATAAAAGGTGTTTCAAAGGATAAAAATAGGTAACCAGATGAAGGGGTAAACAGGGGAAGGTCTGGAAGGGTCCCCAGAACAGGGGCCTGTGTGCCAGGGAGTTGGGGTACATGACCCTCCCGGGATGTGGATGTGGTTTTATTCCTCCCCCCCGTAAGCTTCCACATCTTCAGCTGGCCAGAAGCTTCCTGACCCCTCCCCTTATGGACACATCATTGCGTTGACATGACTGAAGCATAGCAACTGTGGAGAAGTGTGAGTGGACAGAAAAGGGCCTGGTCCATGCTGATGGACAGGTGGGACTCCCGGCAAGGCCCGTGTGCAGGTTCCCCTTGGCCCCTCTGGCAGCCTGCCTTTCTCGTGGTCGTTGCAGGGGTCTCATCACCTACTGTCAGACAATTTCCATTAAGGTAAGTCAGAGAATGTCCGTTCAGTCACTCTAAGACCCGCAGGCAGGGGAAAAGGAGTCTCCACCGCCCGGGCTGGAGAAGAGCAGTTCTGGTTTCTAGCGCCTGCCTTGGTCAAGGAGTTCTGAACCAGGGACCACGGATGAAAACCAAAGTATACTTCTTGGCTTTAGTTTCCATTCTAGAATAGGGCAATAGGTCATTCCACAAAATTGAATAAGTGTTCTGATGACATGAGCAGAGGCAGCTACCTTTACAGACAGAGAGGGCTGAGGGGAGCAGCAACACGCCAGGCTGAAAAGCAAGTTGGTCTTGCAAAGTTCCTTTATGTGTGTGGCAGGGGGTGGCAGAAAAATCGAAAACATTATGAACATCAAGTCACTTTAGTTTTATCATTTTTTGTGAAAAGATGAGAGCCAAGGGAACTTACTTATCATTCCAGTTGAAAATGGCCTCTGGGAAAGTGGACTATCTTTAAAATCCTGGTTTCTGAGATAAACAGGTTAGTTTCAGCTTGGTGACTGGAACTTTAGCATAAGTCCATTTTTATTTTTAACTAGGCCTCTCCGGCGGTAATGCAGGAGTTCAGTCCACAATAAGGCCCCTTGTCATTTTTATTGAACTCTTTCACTCTACACAAACTGGTATGGCCACCTCAGGGCTCCACAGCCTGTTAACCTGCAGAGTCGGGAAGGGTTTGTGTTCCATGGAGTCGAAGAATGAACACTGCCCTGGAGGTAAGCAAGGAAGCAGGAATTTTATTACAAAGGAAAGTGAGAGAAAGATCTAGAACTCCCTGCACAGAGCACCTGGGAGGAGCAAGAGTGCCCTTTAAGTCTTGCAGCGCTCCTCCTTTTCAAGGCACATAAGGAGAAGATGATAAGTTCCTCTTTATTGGTTTTGGTATTGCAACTGTCCCACAGCCAGCATGGGCCAGATTATGGATGATGCAGTCACTTTGGACAAGATGGAGACTTCTACCTTTCTAAGAAGCAGGAACTGTCTTATAACATGTTGCAGCAAGTTAAGATGGCTGCCCTTGTGCTTGCCCTCTCATCAACCTGTACTGTCCCTTCCTAGTCTCCAATGCCTAGCCTTTTCCATCTCAAGCTCAGTCTGGTCCCCTTGAAATACATGTACTGTAAACCTTAGGGTAAACTTTCTTTTTAAATCAGAAGGAATAGGCAAAGCCAAATAGCCCATAATACTAAATAACACTTGGTTAATCTAAAAGAAAGGAGAGAAAAAGAGCATGTGGCACCAACAGGAAACAGTCAACTGAAGCCAGTCGTGTCCATAATTACATTAAATGTGAATGGACTGAAGACCAACTGAAAGATCACCATGTCATCATCAAGAATCAAGAAGATGGCGTTTGCAAGAGACCTAGTTTATATTTAAAGACAAATAGCTAAAGGTAAAAATGGAAAAATAGGCCAGGCAAATAGCAATAATGAAAAACGGAAGTGTTCATAGTAAGTGCGACATGGGAGACTTCAAGACAAAAGAATTTCCCCAAATAAAAAGGAGCTTTTCAAATTGATGAAATTGATACTGGTCTTGGAAAAATCAGGATTGGGTTCTTGTTCCCCTGGTGTTGAAAATTAAACACCCAAGAAATGCTGAGGCAAGTGTACGAAGCAACGTTTATTTAAGAGACAGAAGAGAGGAGAGAGAGAGGTAGAGAAAGACTTGGGGGTGGGGGACCCAAAGCCGGTGCCCGTGGGAGGGGGTATATGTTTCTAGATCTCAGTTTTCTTCCTATCTTGCCTCCATGACCAAGAGGCAGGAAAAGAGCCGCCCAGGGGTGCTCATTAGCAACTCCTCATGCTGGGAGGAGCAGTTCCTGGAGGTATAGGTAACTTTGGTAACTGGCCGAGAGGGTGGGAAGTGCTGTGGAGGTGTTAGCATTTCATTTCCGTGTCTTTGAATCAGCCCCATCTTCCCTAGGAATCATTCATTATCTATGCTGACTGTCTGTCCCTTGTCCCCATTTCATTCCCCCCTCTGATTAAGGGAACCCTGCCTGCTGTAAGGGGAAATGGGTGATGACCACTCTGGCTGCTTCAGGCTGAGAAGGGGTGACATGGGGTAAGCGGTTTAAATTTCCCTTTCAGGAATGTTTTGGGTTGGTCAAGAGGTCTCTGGTAAAAGTAGGGTTTGGAAAGAGCAGGTTGTAAAGTCTTCTGAGAGGCAGGTGTTCTAAGAAACAAGAAGCTGTGAGTGCTGGGATGAGATGAGTACAAACATTTGAATGTGATGATAATTTTTTTTTTTTTTACCAAGAGGTGCAAGAGCTGAGAAGCTGTTTTCATGGCCATGCAGGGGTGGATGTGGCCTCTGTTTGGCTTGAAAATCTTTAAGGATATTAGTTACATTATCAGAGTTATCGGGAATGTAAACTCAACACTTAGTTTTTATAATATCACAGATGTCCCCATAAGAGATAGTTAAGATATCTAACACCATGCGTTTTTTGTTTTTTTTTTTTCAGCCTGAATAAGACAGAAACAGCTTGGGCAGAACCCAACATGCCTGACCCAGCGGGGCCCTGCGACCTTAGAAGGAGAAGTTTGAGCCCTAGGCTCAGCACGGCCACAATGAGGGAATTTCAAACTGTATATAGGACAGTGGCTGCAGTTGGGTTTTGTCCATAAGAACAGAAAGCTCTTGGTGGTGACCTGTTGGACTCCCAGAAAGTTAGCACGTTTGGTAGCGGCTGATGGTTGGTGGGTGGTGGCTGGTGGGTGGTGGCTGGTGGCTGGTGGATGGTGGCTGGTGGCTGTTGGCTGGTGGTTGTGGTCTTTGAATATTGTTTTTCTCTTTCTTTCTTTTTTTTTCCCTTTTGTGTTTTGGGATTCTTGGGGGGGGGTATTTATTTTATTTACTATTATTTTTTTAGCTAGCATCCTAAGATGGTGTTCCATTTTAGGATAAGCAGTGAGAGTAGTGAGAGCAGCCTAGATCCCCCAGAGCTGGACTCCTATGAGCCCGCCTTCACAGACCATTATGAAGTTGTGCGGGGCATCGGGGAAGGGGGCTTCGCCACGGTGAAGCTTGCCCGCCATCGCCTGACTGGGGCAGAGGTTGCAGTGAAGGCCTTGGCAAAAGTCCTCTGGAACCTCCCCTTCCTATCTGAGCCAGATCTGATGGCGGGCTTGGACCACCCAAACGTGATCCAGCTCTTCCAGGTCATCGAGACCATCAACTATGTCTATGTTGTCATGGAATATGCAGGTAGGGGCAACCTACGGAAACTCATCGCGGAACCTGGTGGCATGCCGGAGGAGGAGGCCCGCAGGCTGTTCAGGCAGACTGTGCGGGCCGTGCGGTACTGCCACATCAAGGGCATCGTGCACCTGGACCTCAAGCCGGAGAACATGGCGCTGGATGAGAGCGGCAACGTGAAACTCATCGACTTTGGCCTGAGCGCCCGGTTCACAGCTGGGCAGAAGCTGAACAGGTTCTGGGGCACTCTCCTCTACTTTGCCCCTGAAATTGTCCTGGGGGAGGCATACGAGGGCCCCCCTGCCGACGTCTGGAGCCTGGGTGTCACTCTCTACTTCATGCTCACGGGGAGACGCCCATTTATGGCCAGCACTGCTCAGCAGGCGAAGAAGCTGATCTTGGAGGGAGCTTATGACACTCCCCTGAATGTTTCCGAGGGAGCCCAGAGCCTCATCCGTGAGATCCTGACGGTGGACCCCACCCAGAGGCCCACCCTAGAGCAGGTAACGAGGCACCGGTGGCTGAGCCAGGGTGAGGCAGCATCACCCAGTCCTTCTGTCCAGGTGCTCCCTGAACTCCCAGATCCCACAATTATAGCAACCATGGTCAACATGGGCTACGACCCCTATAACACCTGGATGTCCCTGGCCAAGAAAAAGTATGACAATGCGATGGCCACGTACCTCCTGCTCAAACACCAGAGAATCCAGGGGGCGGGCTGCAAGCACCAGGTGAAGTGCATGAGTCATGGCGGGGTTGGGCCTCCCCTGGGGCCTGTGGATCCCCCCTGGGTCCTCCCCAAGAAGCGTTCCAGTGAGCCTGCCCTTCCCTCACCCCGTGAGCAGCTGCACCAGCCTGGGGAGGCCAAGCAGACCCAGCACAAGGGTGGTGGCAGTGCCAGCGTGCCTGCCATCCAGCTGCACTTCCTCAACATGGACACACCCCCTCCCAGCCTCACCTCCCAGCCCCACTGTGTGCCCAGCTCACCCAAGCCCTCATCCTCCCAAGGGACCCCTGAGATGGGGCAATCCCACCACCGTGTCAGGGGTTGGAAGAGGGTGAGGAGGAGCATTGTCACCTGCACCCAGCAGCTGTGCTGCGTACCATGCTTCAGTCGCACAGCAATCAGGAGCACAGTGGCTCCAAAGGACCTTCCGAGCCAAGACAGAACCAACAGAACCGACGGACAGCCAGAACACCTCAGTGCCACCTGGCCCCAGCTTCCCCGCCCGCCCGGGTCCCAGGCAGGCAGGAGCACCTCTGCATCCACCAGGAGTCTCCTCTGCCCCTAGCTGTGAAGACACATCATAGAGACTTTTCCCTGCCCTTGGTCCTTTCTCCCATGCTTTGGGGGAAATTTATTTTTAATTTCTTTTTTTCACAAATTGTCTAATAAAATTGATCTTTTAAATATTTTTTAAAAGGTAGTTTTGTTGTTTATTGTTTTTAAGAGGGGAGGCCTCAGGACAAAGGCCTGAGCCTAGCAGCCATCCTCTCCTCTCACTTGCCTTGAGCCAACGGCGATGGGGACTTGCTCCCCTTGACCTAGTGTAGACAGAGATTCTCCTCTTGAGCCAGTGTAGACTTGATTCACTTTGAGCTGGTCGCCTTAGCCAGAAGGAATCCTTCTCTGGGTCTTCAGGCCCTTCCCTGCAGTGTGGGGAGGGTGGGTTGCAGCTGTTGGAGAGGACATCTGTGGCAAGGTGCTGGAGAGTCCAGAGTGTTCTGTGGCTTCCTGGCCACCATCCCATGTGCAGGGAGCAGAGCTGGGCCAGTGGGCAGGGGTGGGCCTCTCTGCAGTGGGGGCTAGGTGCCTAGCCAAGAGCTCCTCTGGTCACAGCTAAAGGTCATGGAGAGGGGACACATGGGATTCAGGGAGCGGAGACAGGGATGCTACTTAGGTAAAAGCATGGTGCACCTGAGTGGAATGGCTCTTATCTTTGGGGTCTGTTGACGGAGAATTCTATAAAGTGAAGTGCACACAAATAACAAGTCAGAGACGCTCAGGTTAGAACAGGGGGTTTCGAGCACCTTCCAGCCCCGGATCTCTGCGCTCTGGACGCCCACGGCTGCTCTGGCAGCTCTTCCCGCCCTTCCCTGCAGCGGTCAGAACTTGACATGGCTAACAAAACGGTGTCCTGTGTGTCACCTTAACACTCTCCCCGTTTTCATCTTGAGACAAGAAGAAAGTTTTAATGTACAAATACTCTCTCAGGCTGTTTTTTTTTTTTATTTCTTTTTTAGTTGTAGATGGACATAATACCTTTGTTTTGCTTATTTTTTTATGTGGTGCTGAGGATCGAAACCTCACGTATACCATGAACTTTACCAATGCGTCACAACCCCAGCCCCTTCTCATGCTGTTTTAACCATATATATTATTTTGTAAGAGTCAGGAGAGAAGAGAATCAGTATTATCAGGTTCATATATAATAGATTTTCTCCAATATATATATATTGGAGAAAAATATAAATATAGCTTCTAGAATTTTAATTTTTGTAGCATTTTAATAATGATTTGGGCTGGACTCATCTTAAATAACTCCAAGTTTTAGAGTCCAGTTTGTTAAAACTTTAGTCCTATAACAACATGGCTCCAGGAAGAAATGCTTCCAAGGATCTCCTGAGCAGTTGGCAAGAAGGCAGCCCCATCACAGACCACGTGCTATTTTGGTAGAAAATGCCATGTGCTTCTCAAGCCCTCGGTCACACAAATGGCAATGGTAAAAGGTCTTATTTGCTGAAGACCCGGGAAGCTACTCCGCTGAGCCCAAATCCCTGCTTTACCCTCCTTGTGCCTCATTTTCACAAATGTGAAAGGTGGGCAGCAGTAGGTCCCACCGAAGGCTCAATTGAAGTTCAGAGTCGGATGTTGTCCTAGACCCATGCTGGCCACCGTCCCACACATGTTCATGCCTGTGTAACCTAATGAAAAAACTAACTCCAATGATTACATCACTTTCAAAGTAAGACCTGGTTTGGGGAAAGTGTTGAGTTTAACCAAGGCCATCTTCACTTTATGTGATGAAATTTCCTTCCTGACCTGTCCCAAGTCCTAAACATAGGGTCACGTTCATCTGATCAGAATCACTAGGAGTTAAGAAGATGTGAAGTATTTGAATCACCAAGGGAAGTTCTCCAATGGCATTTGGTGGAATGAACATGAAGTTGTATAAAAGATGTATACATGCTGCAAAAACAGACTGAAATATTCTGAGTACATCAGGAGAAGAAAAGGACAGAAGGTGTGTTTAGGATACAAATTCAGAAAAACACACACAGCAAGGGTCAGGTTGCAGCTTGTATGGGTCCTGGGGTGTCCATCTATCTAGTGGCTTTGGTCCTGGGCCCATATAGTGCTGCACCCAGGAGAGAGCCTTCCACCTCCTTGAAGAAGGTGGACACAGCGGAGGGGCAGCCTGGGAACATCAGTGGCTCAGCATCCTTCTTCCTTGCACTTGTGACTGGGAGTGAGAAGCAGGTGCAGCTCCTTGCTCCTGTGATATCACTGTAGCCTTTTTGGAGAGTTTTAAAGTGGATGCCACACAGCTACCTTCAGGTGTCACTGGCCATTCCGTGTGTACGATGAGCGTCCATCTTCAAAGACAGGGGCACAAGTTCCACCATGATGGATAAACCCTGCCTACTCCAAGTACTTCTTAGGCCACTCCTCGTAGGACACCATATTTTCTGTTGATTCACTTCTATTCCATCTGCTCAAGCTTCAAATTTGGGTTCCTTAAAATACCCAGTTACTCCAAGTTGCTCCACGACTAAGTAAGCTTAGAAAATTCTCCGTAGATTCCTTTCTTGGAGAACTGTCATTTACATCACTGTTCAGACTATCAGCATCTTCCAAACTCATCTGTCACCAGGTAAAACTAGTGGATAGTTAGCAATACTAATATTGGGATACTTGATACTTAAGTTGAGGATTGTTATGTTGATTAAAAACAGAGAATGCATGTAGTTTCTAATGCATAAAACATAATCAGGGCTCAATAAATGCAGAGTGATTATTACTAAGCCTGGCTAACAGCCCTGCTGTATTCTGAGCATCGCACACAAAAGCTCCTCACATTCATCAGATGAATGCAAAATGAAACAGAGTAAAATCTGTGCACCTCCCAGGGCTTAAGTTGAAGAGATCGTCCACACCAGATGCTGTCAAGAGAGTAAAATATCCAGACCTCGTATATGTTGCTGGTGGGAAGGTAAAATGGTACAACCACTTTGGGTAACTCTTTGTTGATTTTTTTTAATGAAATTAAATCCACATCTACCTATGTTCCAAAAATTCTCCTCCTAGGTGTTTACCTGAGAGAAGTGGAAATATATAACTTCAAATATGTTGTGCACAAATATTTGTAACTTTTATTCCTGTAGTCAAAACCCAGAAAAAAAAAAAAAAAACAAATGTCGGGCTGGGGTTGTAACTCGGGTGTAGAGCGCTCACCTAGCATGTGCAAGGCCCTGGGTTTGATCCTCAGCACCACATAAAAATAAGTAAATAAAATAAAGGCATTGTGTCCAACTACACATCAAAAATTTTTTTAAAAAAAAACAAATGTCCATCAATGGTAAATGGATACATTGCAACATTTATCTGATAGGCTACACGGCATCAATGAAGCAGAATGAACCACTAATACATATGACAACGTGGCTGAATATCATGTTGAATGTACAAAACTCCATACACAAGACACACCTCTATGATTCCATGTACATGGAGTTCTGAACCTGGCAGGATTAATCCCTGGGAGCACATGAGGCAGGGATTGGCCAGGGGTATAAGAAAGAGTTTCCTGGAGTTCTCTACCTTGATTAGGGCATGGGTTACTTGAGTATAAATTTTAAAACTTAAGTGGATGCATTCTAGCTGGGCATTGTAGCACATGCCTATGATCCCAGTGACTTGGGAGGCTGAGGCAGGAGGAGTGCAAGTTCAAGGCCAGCCTCAGAATTTAGCAAGGCCCTCAACATCTAAGTGAGACCCTGTCTTTAAATAAAAAATAAAAAGGACTGGGGATGTAGCTCCATGGTAAAGCATCCCTGCAATCAATCTCCCGTACCAAAAGAAAAAAAAAAAGATATATTCATTCTCACACAAATTCTATTATATAAAGTATAACTTGATTTTTTTGTTCCACTAAAAGAGCTTTTTATCACCTGTGTAGTCACTTTCTGGGACGCTATTGCTTCCACCTGACTCGGATCATCCTAACTTATCTTGAGTCAAAGCCAGGACCTCTGGCATTGTATCTGCAAATGTGTCTCAGAGCTCTTGACCCCATAAACATGTACAGAATCTGCATGTCAGATCTTCTGGTACCTTCTCTGGTACCTTCTCTACTTCACAGAGCATGCACGAATTCTCCTGCATGGGAGCACTTTGGGGTTACCTCACCAATCTGGGAAAACCCCAACACCACCTTCAGCCCTGAGGAACGTGGGTTTGCTGTTTTTCTACTCTTCTCCTGGTAAAAACGGAATGCTGCTCAGAATTCTCCTCTTGTGCTGTGTCTCGTTTGTTTACTCCAGCCTGTGGCCCACACTTGGCTTGACATTCTCCATCTGAATCTTGAAGAGACGATAGAAACAGCCTTTCCTCCCGAGGAAGGCACCATCCTTCCAGCCAGTGCCAATGAGGCCGTCTATTAGATCCACTGCGGAGGTCCCCAGAGCATCCCTGGTTTCCACGAGCTCCAGCAGCCTTCCAGGGAACGCCCTTTGTTTCCATGAGCCACAACTGGTTTCTGAACCTTGTCTGGTGTGAAACTCCTTGAAGAGCCAGGAATCTAGGGTTGGGCCGGGAGAGTACAGTCACAAATCCAAGTGACCGACAAAAGCCATCAGTTGGTACTGAAAGCATTTTCGTTAGCTTTAAAATAGTAGCAGCCCCCTGCTGGGCCACTCCCCAGCCTCAGTACTCAGGTACACAGGGCTTTGCAGAGAACTCAGAGGTGGGGGTGTAACTTGAATTTCTGAAAAGTTTAGGGATGGAAATGGAAGGCCCCAGGTGCTAGAGACTGAATATCTTCCCTAGAAATTCATGTTGAAATCCTCACCCCAAGATGATGATAGGAGGTGGGGCCGTTGGTAAGTGATTATGTCTTGAAGGCAAAGGGAGACCCCTCACCCTTTCTGCCACACGAAGTTACAAAAAGAAGATGGGTCCTCAACAGGATACTATATCTGCTAGGTCCTCGATCTTGGACTTGCCAGCCTTCAGAACTACGAGAAATTAATCTTCATTGGTTTATAAGCCATCTGGTTTCTGGTATTTTTTTATAGCAGCCTGACAGACTAAGATACCAAGATTGTCACCAGAGATTTGTTTTGGGGTTTTTTTTTCCACATTTTTAAATTAAATTTTGTTTTTAATTTTCAGGAGTAAAAAAGTCATAACACTTACTATAAACTGCTGACAGTTGATATCAAGTAACTCCATTCATTAATGTTTTCCTTTCCTTGAAAAAAATGAATGTATTTTCCTTTCCTTGAAAATGAATGTATTTAATATCACATCTTTTAAAAAACAAACTCAAAGATACTTGTGCTTATTAACAATTTCTGTGAATAGCAAAATTCAAATACATCCATGTTTTTCATGATACTGTTATACGTCAATTTAACCTTTTAAAAACTTATTACTTTTCACAATGAGAAAGTAGAAAACAAAATGTAATCAAAAGGAACAAGCCTGAGTCATTTATTCTCTTTGTCAAAAGATAACAGGTTAAATGTGGGGTTCAACCTAACCATAGAGACAGACTGCTTCTGTTTCTAACCTTTACCTCTGGCTCAGGAAAAAAAAAAAAAAAATCAATGATCATGCACAATCCACTGGTAAATATGAATTCACTATCAAATTCTTCCCTGTTTTATAAGGAAAGAAATTAGGTTTAATGCTGAAGAAAGGAATCAATTTAACACAATTTTGCTATTATCAGAATTTAAGAAATGTCCACAGGAACCTCTTAGAAAACAGGTCACTGTCCATTCACCCTAGGAGATTAGGCAATCCTAAATCCACATAAAAATATTTCAAAACATGTTTTGTCCTCACACATTCTTTTTCCTCTGCACCAAGTTCAGATTAAATGTCTTTAAATGACCACTTCTGGTATGTGTCCCTCAAGAGCTCATGTACTGGAAGCCTGGTGCCTACTGTGGCGATGTTAAGGGGTAGTGGTACCTTTGACAGGCGACCTAGTGAGAGGTCATTACTGGCCCTTCCCCACCCTCTGGTGTCCAGTCTCACCACCCTGTCACACCTTCCTGCATGGATTGTGATGTCATCCACTAGGAAGTGCTACAGCCTGAGGCCCTTGCCAGAGCCAGAACTAAGTTACTGGTGGACTTTCAGTCTCCAAAACTTTGAGCTAAATAAACATCTTAATAACCTAGCCTTGAGTATTTCATTATAGTAACTGAAAACAGACTAATACAACTTCTATTTTAGCAACTTAATGTAAATAAAAAGCAAACCATTTCTAAATAAAAATTATAACACCATTTTTTAAACTACAAATGGTGCTATTATGTAAGAAAATGACTTAAATAATTAGACATAAGAATTTGCTATTTATGACATGAAGCTCTCAAATTATTTTCAACTTAAGACAATCAGGCTATTGGGGTCATTTCTTTGGCTGAGTCATTTGATTCACCTTTTAGTTCCGAGTCCCCTAAATTTTTTGTCTACAGTTAAAATACTTTCCCTCTTGCCTTTCTTAGGAACTGCATCATTAGCACAGAGTTTTCGCGTTTTCATTTTTGGCAGTTTCTTCCGATCAAAATCCCATTCCCTAAAACTCTTCAGATCCTTTGCATTTAAGATGCCTGGCATCTCAAGGCCACATCCTTCAGACTGCGGTCACTGTGCTCCATTGGCTACTTGATAACGGAAAAGTGCCGCCTTCCCCACCTGTCCCTGATGCTGGCGTGTAATTCCATCTGCTCCAGCTCACTGCTAAATCTATGTAAGTACCTTTCCACTAATTCACAAGCATCTTTGTTTGAATGCCCCAATTTGGGGGGAATCCAGATGATTTTGAAACCACTGCAGTTTTTCCCACCAATAAGATGGAGACGCAAGGCCTTTTCATTCTTTAATTTTTTTCTCCTTGTTTGTGGGCCTTTCTCAGAGCTGATTTTCTACTACTTGGATGGATGACTTCTTTCCTGTCCTGTATTTCCTCCCTTTGGTACTTCAGGCATGGTGACATCCAGGAGGTCACAGAGAAACTCCACACTCCAGACCCAACAATCACAGACCCCAGCCGAAGCAGCTGTACTCCAGCCCGAACACGTGTGGGACCCAGAGATTGGCGTTAAAATGCTTTTCCGAAAGGCAAACTCGGTAAGAACTCTGGCATTTGGAAGTAGAAATACCCGCAGTCCCACCCCACCACACCACTTAGCAGCTCCCGTGAAGGCAGACGGGATCCTCGAGACACTGCAGCTGACACTTAGTGCTCCACCAGGCAAGGGACGCTTCTTTCCTCGTTTTCTGGTCTGCTCCAGGCAATATTTTTCACCTACAACCTGCCCTAGGACAGAAAATCTCATTCCCAAAGGCGATTATGAAGAATGTGAACAAAAAATAAAACAGGCATGGAATTTAAACAGGATATAGAATTTATTAGGTATTGACTATAAAAATAAAACCATCTAAATAGAAACCCCAAGCGATCCCTTACAGATCCCTTCAGGTACCTGTAGATCCTCCCACCCTAACCCCGATAAAAACACCATTTTGTATACACAAGGGCCAGTAAAGACAGACGCAAAACAGCCAAGATGGCAGATGCTTAGCTTAGAGGGGTGACTGGGTCAGACGAGACGTTTCTTCCAGGAAATGTCTGTTTTGTGGTCAATCGTCAGCTCCTGGACCAGAGGCCGACATCGGGGCTGAGCGAGCGTGTGCCTGGCAGAGCCGCTGGCTACAAGGCAGGCGATCTACTCCTTCATTGCATCCTCCAGCTCCTTCACCATCCAGTCGTAATTGTGTTCCTCTAGCGCGTGTTTGAACCGGTGCATGGCTAGAGGGTCCACATGGGGACAAAGAGAAATGACATCATAGGTTTTCAGGTGGGACCCCGATGCCCCCAGGTCATCAGTGCCTCTTATGCAGACACGTCAAACTTCAGCCCTCCTTCCTTTGGGCTAGATTCCCAGGCAACCTGTTATATCTCTGGTGGTTCTCTGTTAGGGGTGGAACCAGAGATTGAACTCAGGGGTACTCAACCACTGAGCCCTATTTTAGTAATAAGATTATTTAGAGATGGGGTCTCACCGAGTTGCCTAGTGCCTCGCTTTTGCCGAGGCTGGTTTTTTACTCACAACCCTCCTGCCTCAGCCTCCTGAGCTGCTGAAATTAGAGGTATGCCACCAGGCCCAGTTCTGATGTTTCTTTGGGAACTTCATTGTCATATCATTAGCCTGCCAGGCATTCAGGGTCTCTTATCAAACTCTGTACCCTGGGGCCTACCTGCTTCTTAACTCTTCAGTCTGTTTTCCACACTAGACCAGAAGACATTTCCACATGGAAATGAATGACTCTGCTATATTCCTAGCAGGTGGAACCACGCCTGGCATGCAGTGGGATATCACAATTGTTCAGATGTCACATTCCCCATGGAATAACCTGCAGAGACTCCCACAGTCACCCATCTTTCCTGGGCCACCAGCTCCACAAGGACAGGTTACCACTTCATACTAGCTTATGATCTCAGTGCCTTGCCCAGTGGCAGGTACCCAGAAGGTGTAATGAATGAATAGACTGATGCTCAAGGTGCCCATCACTTCCTGTTTACAAAGGAGCATAATGTAAAATGACAGTGAAAGCAGAAGGCCTAAAGCTAGTGGCTGCTAAGGGAAAAATAAAAATAGAAGAGGAAGATTCAGGAATTGAGTGAGAACAGTTGATGAGGCATCTTTAAAGGATTCCAGGCCTGGGAGGTCCCCACCACTCACCCAGTTTGAGTGGAACGTAGTTTTCTGCAAAGATGATGCGGAACCAGCCCGGCTCCTTACACATGTAGGATTTGCCGCGGGAGAGCATCAGCTTGTTGTCCAGGAAGCGGCGATGGAGTGCCCGTTCTTCCGCAAATGTGCACGGTTTCAGGTACTAGCAAAGGCAGAGGGACGGAGCTGAGCCCAAGATCCACCTGGCAGGTCTGCCCGAGAACACCCATCCTCACCCCCAGAGCTCACCGACTGCAAGTTGACCCAGACGTACAGGCCACAGCCATGATTGACAAAGGGAATCTCCAAGGCCCTCAGCTTCTTGGTGACGTACTTGTGAGCTGTCCGGAGCCGGGAGTGATTAGCAGGCAGGTACACTGCGTCAATCCACTCTGGAGGGGAGGAGGGAGAGTGCGGGCACAGACCTTATGCAGACCTCTGCCCAGGGTTGCTTCCCGAATATTCTTTGCCTGGGCTTCCTGAAAACGATTTCTATCCACGATGAGTGATCCGATATTTGAGCTGATGGTGTCCACATCCAATGCACCCATCTCTTACCAAGGGCCCTGGAGGACACTCTGGGCCTCTCACTGTCCAGTAGGAATGCTCCCTTGGGTTTACACCCCTGAGGTAAGCCAGGGTCTTCTATGAAGGCGTTGATGCTGCTTTCCTCAGCGAGCAAGTCAGCA